TTGGTCGTATTTAGAGAATGAAGTGAAAATAAAATTTAGTTTTCTAATAATGCCCTTACCAAAACACAGAATTTTAAAAATATTAAAATATTTTTAAAATGACTAAATAATTTATTTTTCTAGAAATAAGTTTTATAGAAATGATATTTTTTCTTAGAAAAATAAATTTTCATATATATGATAGTTATATTTTAGCACACCGCCTCGGCAACAATTTCGGACTTTTGGCTTACAAATTGAAAAATAAATTTCATAGAAATTATTTTTTATTATAAATAATTATAATTCCACCTTTCTAACTTCTAGTGCTACATGTCTATTATTTGTACGAGCAGCTAATGTTACTAGCTTCACTGTGCGCTAGCGAAGAGAAAAATGCCTCATATGAGATATATATAGTCAAAAAGGTTTTTTTAAATCTAGAGGCCAACATGATTGCAAAAAAAGGACGTGATAAAATAAGAAAACATCAAAATTGTATGCTTATAGATCTACAGACCTACCATTACCCACGTTAATCAAAATGTGTCTACTAAATCGTGAATAATCGGGCACTCTTCACAACATCTCCTGATAAATTTTTTTTTGAGATTTCATGTTCAGGGGGAAAATAAAGGAAAAAAAGTGTAATATATCATCCATATGTCCAAAATTAATATAAACGATAGTATCTATAGTTTAAAATTTTATATGCATAAACTATCACATTCGGCAGATTATTAGAAATATTCAAATTCTAATCAAAATGTCCATAAAATAGTACGAGCAAAATAATTGGACAACCATCAAAGTATCAAAATATTAAGTTTTGAAATTGTAAAACGATAAACTAGTCTATAACTCCAAAGTGTCACCTAATACTCCCCGCTGTATCGCCTCACCCATGTCTCCTATAGATTATCACCAATTGTAAAGAACAAATCTAGCAAATTTCAGTTAGCACCAATCGTCCCTATTGCTGTAAAGCACTAATCCATAGCTAAATTTATTTTCATTAATTGTTCAGTAAATCTTTGTCTCTTCTCGTACAAACTCACTTCATCTAAACCATCCTTGATCAATTGGCTTGATTTAACAAGCTCTTTGTCTCTTCTCGTACAAACTCACTTCATCTAAACCATCCTTGATCAATTGGCTTGATTTAACAAGCTCACTTCCAATATATCTAAACCATCCTTGATCAATTGGCTTGATTTAACAAGCTCACTTCCAATATATGCACTAGTTTCCCTCATCATCTCTCCTAATGAATCACTATCTCCAGACAACCGTCTCTTTCCTTTTCGCTTCAAGGAGCCATCAATTGTGTCCCATGTTGTTGCATCATGTGAAGGTGAGTCAATATTAATAAAATATTCTCCGACAGTCTCTTGACTAACTTTTTTATCCAATTCCTCTATAACGTCATTAGGATGTTTCATTCGTTTTCCTGTTGCCCTATCCTTTCCTGAACACAATAGACAGAGTTTCATAGTGTGGAAAAGATTTCTCTCTGAAAGGTATTGTATTTTTGTGGGCCTACATTAAGATTAAAAAAACAGTAGTCATTAATTAAAAAATATGTCAAATGTAAAAATGATCATGTGATAAATTAAAATTTAATAATAAAATACCTGCAGATATACATCCCAAACTTCTTTTTCAACGGTCACACATTGCTTAGTTGCGTCCCATCCAAAGCCACTACAGTTAAGCATATCAAACATAATGCTAAATTGTGTCTTAAGTGTCTTCATCCTTGATCTAATGTGAGGATCAGCCTTTAACCCTGAATTCGATAGTGACTCAGAAAGTAATCTTTCAATGACATTATAGTGTCTAGGCTTGAATCCACGATCAACATTGTACTTTCTATTGTTACGTAAATCCAACAACACATCAACCAATTTTTGATCTTCTATAGTAGTCCATGTGCGCTTATTCCTTCTACGACCTTGTTGGTCTTCTTAATCCATTCCTAAACAGTTATATTGCTTATTTATTAGTTATCACATCTCTTCTTTTCTTGTAATATATGTACATTTTTCTTGAAGCATTAACCTCTCGAGCATAACAATATCAGATAACAACAAATCACTATATTGTTAAAAAACACAACCATATATTTATATTAGAAACTGTATTACGTATAATAATAAATAATTACATGTAAATATCTATTATCATTAAGAATAGTAAGCTTTTCAACATGAGTATGAGTCAATTGCTAATAACTCAATTATTTCACAAAAAATATATATCAAACTGAGAGCTTGAATAAAAATAAAAATTATTGTTTTCATGATTAAACTTTGTACATGAAAAAGAAAAAAAAGAAAAAAACATATGACAAACATAAAAACTAAATCATTATTGTTGCCATATCCACTGGTTATACATAGAATCTGCAAGGTTATCTCGTCACGAAGTCCAATTTGAAGTAGTTTCAATTGTCGTGATTAGATCATTAGCATTGACAATTTGAGTTGTTTCCTCCAAAACATCAAGACACTCTTCAAATGGATCAACCTTCATCTCCCTCCTAATATAATTATGAAGGAGACTACGTGCCATGAATATTCGATTTTGTATCTTGATAGGGTAAAATGAAGGACTACGTAAGATCACCCATCTTAATTTTAGCAACCTGAAACATCGCTCGATAACATTTCTAGCTAATGTATATTTCATATTGAACAACTCCTGTGCAGTTGTTGGTTAGTGTCCGTCTCTCCATTCATTCAAGTGATAACATTGCCATCTATATGGTGCAAAGAAACCATCACAATTTGTGTATCCCGCATCAACAAGATAATAGTAACCTATGGTTGGACATATCAATTATCTAAATATTAATGAATTTGACAGTTGCTAAAGGCAAATATTATACAAATTATAACTTACTTATCGCGGGGGTTTTAATCAATTTCTTCTGGCTATTGCTTCTTGAAGTACTTTACTATCAGCCGCTGAGACTTCCCACCCATGTATTATGTATATAAATTGCATGTTTTGAGAACATACAGAACATACACCCAAGACATTTGTTGCAATTTTACATTTTCGTGTCATACACCTAGATTTGTCCTCCACAACTACACTCACTTATATAAGTCCCATCTAAATCTCCAAGACAATTCTAAATATAAGTGAAAATTATAATGTTAGATTACTTAAAAAACTAAGAAATACAAATAAAAAATAATTTATAAGTTACATTGAACCATTTCCACCTCGTGTCTGTTGAGTCTATTGGCACTGGATTGGGTTTTTGGATTAAAATGTCGTGCAGATGTATTGCGACATGTAGCACATGAGTAAAATGCCTACTAATAGTTTCCCCTGAATATCGAAACATTTGTTTTATGACACTATCCTTCACATGGTGGGCGTGAATATGTAAAAACATTGCAACTTGTTCGTCTACCAACATATTTTTTTGTTTCTTTCAGCCCTACATTTTCTAGCATAGTGCACAACTTCCTAAAAGAGCTCCTATACATTCTAAGCTGATCTAAACAAGTTACATCACTCGCATATGCAAGATGATACACATTTTTTTCTTTTGGAATAAAAATCTAACTTGTTATCTAACTTTAAGAAACATTTGTTTGTGCTTTTCTAACTTTAAGATTTCTTTATATATGCAGTTGTGTTCAAAATCTGAACTTGTTATCTATAACCTTATTTCACAAGTTCTTCATCTATTTTTCTTGTTTTTCTAGTAATTGTTAAATTATTTTTTTATTAGTCATTGAAATAAGCTTTCATTAAAGTTCTTAAGAGGAGATTTATTAAAATTTTTGCTAATCATTCAATAATTAGCTAGAGATGCTCTATCAACAACATTGAAGAATTTTTTTTTCCAAGTAATCTAACACCAAACACCTAACTGAGTCATCACAAGATAAAAATTCTTGTAAACATTAGATAAAAATTAGCTACATATATAAATTTAAAAAAGAAACAATGATTAACTTACCGAGCGACGTGGAGCGAAAGACGAGAATAAATATCCTCTTAACATCAGAAGGGTCCAACTATTCACACTCCCAAACAGTAACTTTGGGGGTGTGTGAGGACTAAATTGCCCTTCTCTCACCGGACAGCCAATCCGGTGGGTAATTAATTTTTCTGTCTTTTTTTGTGTCCCACCAGACACTCAATCCGGGGGCATCTATATCCCACTGGACAACCAATCCGGTGGGTATTTTTTTTTGTTGCCCACCGGACACATAGTCCGACGCGCCTGTCGGCCACCGGACACCGTGTCCGGTGGGTTATAATTTTTTTTATTTTGTTTTATTAACTAATTCCATTTTAATTGTGCATTTTAATTGTAGGATTTGGAACTTTATCGTTAATTGATTTTTTATGAAAACTATTAATGATTTTTATTTGTTAAAAATGTTTGAAGTGTTATTAAAAAAAATTAAATTTTTTTGAGAACATATATAAATGTTGGTTTAATTTTAATATAATTTGAATTTTTAAAATCGTTAATAAAATTTGTTTAAGTGTTTGAAATGTTTGAAGTGTTAGACTATAATGAAGGATAATAATAAAATTTATTAGAAAATCAAAGTATTAATCTACTCAACGAAATACATCAATTGTTTTTTCGATCCTAATTAATTGTTCTTTCTTCTTCTTGTTGAAAAATTAAAAATAAAAATAAAGCACACCGGACACAGAGTCCGGTGGGCGAAAAATTTAAAAAAAAATAATATAAAGCACACCGGACACGGAGTCCGGTGGGCGAACAATTAAAAAAATATATAAAGCACACCGGACACGGAGTCCGGTCGCAGTAATAATTTAAAAAAAAATTATTGCACACCGGACATGGAGTCCGGTGGCAACAAAAGGGCATTTTCGGCAATCAAACTCCCAAAATTACGGTTTGGGAGTGGATATGGCAAACGTGAGATCAGAACTGCACGAAACAGATCGACGGTGAGATCCGAAGAACACTCCCAACCGTCCGATCATCTCATCTAACGGTGGAAAGAGAAACCCTAGATAACCGAATGGCTGCATGCTTCGTGTAAATAGAGGGATCGACGGTTAAAACCCTCATTCGTGACCTTGCTGCTCTCAGATCTCGAAGGTGAGATTTCTATTTCCCCTCTAATGGTTAAAACCCTCATTCGTGACCTTGCTGCTCTCAGATCTCGAAGGTGAGATTTCTATTTCCCCTCTAATTATCGAACTAGGGTTAGGGTTTGTTTCTGCTCTCAGATCTCGAAGGTGAGATTTCTATTTCCCCTCTAATTATCGAACTAGGGTTAGGGTTTGTTTACGGAATTCTATTGTTTCAATTGCTTTCGATTGCTTCGATTCGAAATGAATCGATGAAATTAGAACTGCTTGCTTCATGTGCGATGTCTTTGTTATTGATTCTGTTGCTGGATTCTGGTAGAAGTTAGTTTAGATCGCGTCGATGTGAAATGAGTTGATGAAAGCTAAAGTCTTTGATCAGTGTCTTGATGCCTTCACAATCCGTTTTAGATGGATTTATTACCTAGGGTTTGTTTACGGAATTTTATTGTTTTGATCGCTTCTTGGATTAGAAGTGATTCGATCTTAAATTGTGATCAGGTTTCATGTTAATGATTTTGATAGAAAAAAATTAGATATAGGGTTTATTACTTCAAAGGTATAATTTTGTTGAGTAATCTTGCAAGAACTTTATTGATATTATGTAAGTTCTAATCATACACATAACCTCTTTAGTAACAGCACAATTTGCCTATCTCAGGAAAAACCCTCTAACAATTTTGACCCAAAACAAAAACATTAACCACAAACAAACCTCAAATCTCTCATTTCTCCTATGATCTCCGGTCTTTAGATTAAAAAAAACTATTTTTTAACAACAAATTATGCCGAGTATAGAAAGAACCCATCGAATGAAAACCCTAGGAGCCCCAAAAACATTCGTTTACGAGATTTAGGGATGTGAAAGAAAGCCACATCAGTTCTGATCCGGAAACAAAAATTTAATAGTATAAAAAATTGGAAAAAAAAATAAGGATTGAAAATTGAAGAATAAATTACCTGAGAAACAATGGAGTTCTCCGGAGTTCTCTGGATCTTTGACGGCTGCCACAGCGATCGAGCCATTGGTTCCCCCTCGACCACTCACCTTAATAGTTCTCGAAGATTGTTAAATTACGGAAATGGACACGTTCACTGTTTTGGGCCTTTAGCCCGGCCTGATAATAAGTGGGCTTTTACACACAAGAAAATACGTCTATGGGGTTCAAGAGGCTTACTGAAATTGGCCTACAAAATAATACTACAAATTAACTAGCCCAAAAGATTACGTGGGCTAAAATTGTAGCGTGCATCTAAACGCTAGTGTATATTATTTTATATGCCTTTTTCGTGTTAGTTTTATGGGCCTCTTAGGCTTTGTAATTTTCTCTCCTTGTGGAAGGAATGAACAATTCGCACTCCAAATGATTTTCAATTTTTTGGGGGCAAATGGCTGTAGAACACACATCCCAATACACGATACAAATAACATCACAAAATACATTAACGCCTCGTTTGGTACGCGGGAATGAGTGAGAATGGAATGTAATTCCAACTCTTTATTCATGCGTACCAAACACGATGTATTCTTAGATGCTAGAATTGATGTTGCCACTTCTTATCAATTCCCACTTTATATGGGAATTGTCATTCCCAACCATTTAATAAGGAATTGATATTCCACTTAAATGGGAATAAAAATAATCAAATAATTTCTAATTATACCCTCCTTAAAAGATACGAATAGATATAAATTGTGTTGTTACTAAAGAGGTTATGTGTATGATTAGAACTTACATAATACTAGAACATAAGGTTATTTATTGAAGTGCAGAATAGCGATCCAAACGTGAAATTTGATGCGCAGATCGAAAATAAATGAAAGGTTATTGTAGAATTTGAAGGCGTACAATGAGTTGTAGATTCATCAATTTCCTAGCTGTTCTACTCTGATACATGTATAATGGTAATTGTGTACTATAAATAAAAACTGAAATTCTTGTTTGATGCTCAGAAGTGAGGAGAACATAACTACATAAGAGTGCAGCCTTAAGGCCTCGTTTGTGCGCAATGAGTGGGAATGGAATGATCATTTCCACTTCTCATTCATGTGTACAAAACACAACATCCTTTTGGAAGCTAGAATGCCCATTCTGACTTCTTCTTCATTCCCAACATTTTGTGGGAATGGACATCTCCAATGAGTTGGTAGGGAATTTGCATTCCCACTTAAGGGGGAATGAAAACTAAAATACATACCAAATAGCCCAAAATTAACTATTAATTACCCATACTAAAAATTAAAAAGATTTGCTTTCCGCTTCGGTCGCCAATGACACCCAATTGTGAGAATCAGAGAATGGAAATGGCACCCAATCGTGAGAATGGAAATAAGCATTTCATTCGCACACACATTCCATTCCATTCCATTTTTTTGCTTCATTCTATTCTCACTTGACCTGCTACCTGCGTACCAAACAAGGTGTAAAAGTCCAACAAGTTATGTTTCTGTTTACAGGGAGGACTGGGGAATTGGTTTACCTGTAAAAATTTCAATAATTTCTATAGTATCATTGTCTCCTTTTCTAATCAAGATTCATTACTTTGCAATAACTATGGGACATGGGTGTCTAGTATATCTCTGAAATGGCAAATCTTATAATGCAGGACAAAGCATGTTTAGACTCGTGCACATACTAGTATCCTATATTTAATGCAAACTACTCTTTGTCACTGTTAATTTACATTGTCATACTAAAAGAGCATGCCACAAGTTTCGTTAACATTTTAAGTAAAGGAAAATAGTCATGAGTATAGAGCCAAGAGTGACCCCTCCTCCTCAACCCAAAAGAGATCTTTAATGCTTTTGCTAGGACTTAGAGAAGCAACTTTTTCTCTTCATCGTCTTTCTCCATCTTCATGGTGACAATATTCTTTATTTCTTTTTCTTCTTTGAACAATGACGACCACTTTAACAACCTACTAGCAGTGTTTTCAATGCGTGAGGCGCAGTGCGGCGCGCAAAGTCAGTTTATGCGCACATGCGCAAAGCGCAATGCGATGCGCGCGCCCGAGTGAAGCGAGGCGCGCAAAACTTATACGTTAATTTTCATTCAATTATGCAAATTATTCAAACTTACATACTAGTATATTGCATCACTAACAACTATATTACTAAGTTTTATTTTCCTCTTCACAGTTTACAAATGACAAATCAAGTTTTAAGTTTCAACTTCCAACTAGTAGCACTACACCTAGCTCAAATAGCAAGAATCAATACTCGCAGTCTTACACAGGAAATCAAATAGTAGCTCAAGTACTACATTAATAAGCTTGAAAATTTTTAACAATTATGACTGATATGTATTAATAAGAAGCAAGCAATTAGTTCATAATATCATGACTCTACATTTTGATATTAAGCCAAAGAAAAAAACAGTTATGAGTCAAGAGCGATAAAAAAAAATTAAATTAAGATCTAACAGCTAGGAATAATGAGTTAGTTAACATTAAATATGAACTTAATTAATAGTTTACACTTAACAGTCAGCTTACTAAAAACTCAGATTTTAGAACATCAGAAAAGAAAAAAGAAAACACGTGTTCGATGTCCTTAATTAAGAGAACAAAAAAAGAAAAAAAAAGAAAAGAAAACAAACGAAAAAAACATCGCTGAGGAGCAAAGAAAGAGAACGCAAAAACGAAAAGAAAAGAAAAAAAGAAAAGAAAAGAAAAAGAACGAGAACGCAGAACTCGCTGAGGAGAAAAGAAAAGAAAAAAAGAAAACACAAAAAAGAAAAGAAAAAAAAGCAGAGAACAAAAAATGAAAAGAAAACAAACAAAAAAACATCGCTGAGGAGCAAAGAAAGAGAACGCAAAAACGAAAAGAAAAGAAAAAAGAAAAGAAAAAGAACGAGAACACAGAACTCGCTAAGGAGAAAAGAAAAGAAAAAAAGAAAACGCAAAAACAAAAAGAAAAAAAGCAGAAAAAACATCGCTGAGGAGAACGTACCTGATCGCCGTCGCCGCTCGTCGTCACTGATCGCCGTCGCCACGCCAGTCGCCGCTCACCGATCGCCGTCGCCTGTCACCGCTTGTCGTCGCCTATCGCCACAAAGGAATCGGGATTCGGGAGTGGAGAAGGAGCGAAAGAACCCTAAAATGAAGTCGGGTTTAAGTGGGAAGCGGGTTTATACCCAATAACCCACAGAATAAAAGTGGGTTTCTTCCTGTTCTTCACGCGCGCGCCTCGTCAAAGGCGGTAAGCACAGCGGGGCGCTATCCAGGCGCACGCCCGGCGAAAGTGTAGCGCCCCGCACCTGCTGCGGGGCGCTATTCCACTGCGCCGAAGCGCCTCGCGACGCCCGGCGAAAGTGTAGCGCCCCGCACCTGCTGCGGGGCGCTATTCCACTGCGCCGAAGCGCCTCGCGCCCGAGGCGCACGCCTCGTTGCGCCTTTAAAATCACTGCCTACTAGTACACTCTTTACAACGCACTCTCTCTGTCTTGTTCTACTTCATCAATCTAAGTCTAGATGAAAGTAGTCATGGAAGAAGATTCGGTAGATGCTAAGGATGGTTGTTTGGGCTGCGATCTGCTTGTCCATCATCATACCAAACACAATTGTTGCATCTAGAGTCGCGTTTTCACATTATGGTCTTTGGTCGGTTCATGATAATGGTGATTAACTTTATTATTATTTGAGAAAATTGCTTCCACCCCCTTACTTATGTTTTATCAGTGTTCTCCTAAATTGACTAGTCAGGGGTGAATGCCCCTAACTTCTTAACTCAATTGCATTGCACGCCTTATAATATCTGATTACCAATTTTGCCCTTCTATTCTTTCTCTATATCTATCTATCTTCCAATCTCAACCTTCCCACCATCCATCTGTCCTCTCTCCCTCTCTCTAATCCCCATCCCCTCCCTCTCTCAGGCTCTCAGCCCTGTCCCCCTTCATACCCCCATTGAACCCTTTCTCTCTCCTTCCGATCCATCCAACTTGTCCAACACATAAACATTGAAAAAGAACATATCATATACAAATTAATTGATATAAATATATGAATGAATGAAAGACATATAGGTTCATATAAAAGGTGGATCAAATAAATAAAAATTAGAAACACTAAAATATTAATATAAGCATATGAAAGATAGACAGGTTCATATAAAAATTGGATGGAAAAATAGAAAGTAGAAACATTTAATTAAAAGTTAAGTTCATTGTCAGATGGTTCCAAGGAGGGTGAGGGGTGCGGGAGGGGGGACAGAAGAGAGAAATGAAGAGAAGTGGGAGAGAGATGGAGATAGTAATGATAGTTTTAAGATAAAGGGATGTCAAAGGGAGTGCCAGAGTGGATGAAAGTTTTAAAAGGTATTAGAGGTTTTTCACCTTTGATTAGTCAAAGCAGTTTTTCCCTAAACTATGATACATGAAAAATTTTCTGCAGTTATCTACAGCTTATTGACCTGTACAGCTGTACTTTTGGTTCAATGGCCAAGATCACATCACAGGTTGCATAGTCGATGGGCTTATAATGCAATTTCTATTTAAAGGTCGGAGTGAATATTGAAATAGAAACATCCATAATTCAGCTCAACACAAGTACAAACAAAATAGAATATGAGGTTGAAGTGCTCAGATAAAAAGCCAGTTACACCCATTACATCCATTAGCTAGACCATAGTTGCATGGAGCCCCGTTCGTTCACGGAACGGGAACACGAGCGTGGTACCCCACTTATTTGGAATTGGGTATGGGGGTAGGTGTATATGGTATGTTAGGGAACGCGGTACGCTTTAGGAATTTGAGTTTCAAATGTAGAAATTTGAGTTGTCTTAAAATATGACTATGCAAGGGTTAAATTCAAGTATTGGTAATAGTAAAAGATTCCAAAATATTTGCTAATTTGAATTCTAAATCTCGACGCCTGGTATGGATCCAATTCACTAGTGTACACCGTTTCATAATGATTGAACCAGGGTCGTGGTTTGTCGTGGTGTCCCACCTTCCTGACATCTATGGGCTAGACAGTACTTGTTATAAATTGTTTTATATCCGTTAAAGGCAAAGCGGTCCGTTCAAGTTTATGTCGTTAAATGCATGATTAAGATGTTGAAGCATACCTTAGCAAGTTGTAAAACCTTCAGGCAGCTAAAAGAAGAAAACAAATTGTTCCTGGCTCTTTGAGTTTCAGCAGTTCCAAATAATTCCTAATTGGTTTATATATATGTGCAGTACAAAATAGTTTCACATCATAGCGTAACTAAAAGTATAAATGAAAAGTGGTGTAAATTAAAATAAAGTAGAGATAAAGAAAATATATAAAAGTAACAAGTCACACCTAAATATGAAAAATCTAGGTACTTATGAAAAAGGAAGCCCTCTCTATTCTCTTTTTCTCCATTTTTTAGATTTTTTACTCTATTTTTATTTTTTTCTATTTGCTTTTTAACTTAGGTTTTCTATTTTTCTTTTAACTTCAGGTAGATAGAAACTTGTAAAGGATTGCTAGCAACATGTAAAATATAGATGAAATATATGAAAGATGAAGACATATAAAAGTAGATAGCCATATGTGGAAGGTAAACTGAAACATATGAAAGGTGGATAGAAATATTTACAGATTGACTGTAACATACAAAGGTTAGATAGAAATATCGAGAGATAAATAGGAATACATGAAAGATGTTCAAATTTAGATGGAGGTAGAAAGGTTTACATGAAACGTAGATAGAAGTATATGTGGGATAGACAGAAAGATATAATATGGAAATATATAAAATGCAAAATTGGGGTATGTGTGGGTGCTGAATGGGCAGGCTGGCTTGGAGGGAGGAGGGGTTAGGGGAAGGGTGAGCTTCTTGGGTAGAGGGAGGGGACAGAAAGGAGTGGGTGCCATGTGTTTGGTGGGTGTGTAGGGTTTAGGGGTAGAGGCCAGGAGGTATGGGAGGTTATGGGGGAATTTTGGGGCAGGGGCAGAAGGGGTAGGGGTAGTGGGAAGTAAGAGAGGAAAGTCGAGGGAGGGAGAGACACGGTAGAATTGGTGTTTTTCGAAAATTAAAACGATGTGAAAAGGGTGGATGTAAGCTACAAGACAGGAGTTCATCTTTGGCTTGTCAAATTAGGGGAGCTAACATGCTTGAAAATATGTAGGGGTAGATTGAGAAAAGGAGGAAGAGAAGGGTGTGAGATGGTGTCCTTGGTTTGGACCTTGATTTTTGATCTTAATCACCATTCTTAAGATTATGATAATAATATGATCAAGGACAAATTTTGAAAATCGACCGTTTTTCAAAGTTAATCGGCAAAATCGACCGTTGAATTTTTTTTTAGCAAAATCGACCCTTTTTTGCACGGGACTACTAGTCCCGTGTAGAAAAGGGTCGGTTTTGTAATTTTTCAAACTGCACGGGACTAGCAGTCCCGTGCAGTGCGGTTCTGCCCAAAATCCCCAAGCCCCCACCCGATCCCAATCCACTTTCTCTCTCCTCCAACAATCCCCTCCTCCGTAAATCTCTTCCCATTCTCCAGACCCACCAACATTTTCCCCTCTTCTTCTCCTCCTCCTCCTCTATCACACCATCATCATCCATCAATGGAGACATGTGGGTCTCTATCAAATTTACTAAAACCCATTCCAATAAACAAAACTCGGATAGCAAGCTAAGATTTTGAATGGAATTAATTGGAAATACCAGAACCCATGCTGTCCCTCTGAGATTTGTTCTGCCAAGGGAGGAAGTAGTTGGGGCTGCTGGAGACGGTAAAGATCTTGACAACAGAATCCAAAGCGAGCTCAATGGCGGCATAGGCGTCTGTATGCCTGGAACTAACAATGGGCCGCTCGCTGTCCTCTTGTAGAATTGGAACGGCGGCGGCTGAGTTAGCGGCAGTGCTGGCATCGTCTCCATTGATGGATGATGATGATGTGATAGAGGAGGAGGAGGAGGAAGAGGAGAAGAGGGGAAAATGTTGGTGGGTCTGGAGAATGGGAAGAGATTTACGGAGGAGGGGATTGTTGGAGAAGAGAGAAAGTGGATTGGGATCGGGTGGGGGCTTGGGGATTTTGGGCAGAACCGCACTGCACGGGACTGCTAGTCCCGTGCAGTTTGAAAAATTGCAAAACCGACCCTTTTCTGCACGGGACTAGTAGTTCCGTGCCGAAAAGGGTCGATTTTGCTAAATTTTTTTTTCAACGGTCGATTTTGCCGATTAACTTTGAAAAACGGTCAATTTTCAAAATTTTCAATCATGATTTTTTGGTATCTTGTTCTCTACTTCCTATTGTTACTCAAGGGTTACCAGATACATGTATTATGATCCCTAAATGAACTCTGATAAACTGGTGTTAGGGAGGAAAGAAAGGTGAGGTGAAAGATAAGATAAAAGGGAGGAGGAAAAGGGGAAAGCTATGAATTTGAACAAGGGGAAAAAAATTAATCTTTTGCTAGCAAAATAAGAAATGGTGCACTACATCTCAACTAAAACCAAGTATTTTTAGAACATCATATGCATATCTGTTATTCTTCTATTCATATCGGGTTTTGTCACATCTGATTAGTTTCTGTTTCGATTATGGCGGATATGTATATGAGCTTTTACTTTGTATTACCAAATTATATCTTTGTCTGTGGCTAGTAACAATACGGATATGGTAAACGCCATATCTGATTCATAACAGTTCCACTGTCATCCCTACTTATGTTCCTTTCTAGGCAACTGTACTCTTTTTTGTGCTTTATGAGATATTTGTTTGAGTCATGGGACACAGAGTGCCAGCATGTCGTTTGTGTCTGAGCATCAGACGAGGCAAAAAGTTTGTAAGATTGAATCTTTCTGGTAATCCTGTGTAAAGTGAGAGTGTTGTTTTTGAACGATTCTGAGAGCAAGATGATCATCATATGAATTTGGTTTACTGTATTAAATCTCAAGGCTTGAAAGCTTGACCTCCTTTTGGGCATGTGCACTGTGCAGTAGTACAAGATGGACTCTATTTCAAGTATGATGTGTACACCTGTTTGGTACCCATGCGGTACTTTTAATCGAGACTTTTTGGAAAAAATTCTTTGTTTAACATAAAGAATCATCAACTGTCTTGAGAACTAATGGGAGGGTTGTTCCATGATGTCTTTTTTGTAACAATTTGGAGCTATGTTACCTGCGATCTTCTATGATGAATCCGTATCTGTACCTGACATGTATCAGACACTTATCCGTACCCAAACTTCATGAACATTTCTTGGATATATGCATACATTTATTCCAGCAGGTGCTCAATTATATAATATATGTTTTAATTTAAAACACTTGTGACAAACACTTCTTGGACGTATATCTTACACTTCACAATGCTCGCATCTTTTTTTGAAACTCATTAGACGTAGGTCGGTTCGTTTTAGCCCATACCAAAGTTCAAAATTGTGATTTTAAAGGGTAGTTTGGTTGTCTAGTTCAAATACAAGTAGCTTCTTATTTATAATAATCAACATAATAAAAGAAATTTAAAAACATGATAGGAATTTTAATTCTAGTAAGACGTGAATTGGAAAACAATAATGATCTCATGTAATTATACACACACACACACACACACACACATATATATATATATATATATATATATACACACACACACACACACACATATGTACATATATAAATAGAGGTGAGCTACAATCCACTTGAGTGGATAGCAAGATTTGTGCTATCAAGATAGCACAAATCTCAAAGATGGTCTTCATGTCTTTTACAGATCCCAAGGCAAAATCAATGAAGAAAAAAATTAGGAGGACAAGATTCTTTATCCACTCAAGTGGATTGTAGTTCATATGTATGTGTGTGTGTGTGCGCGGGCAGATGGGCGGGCGGACAGGCGCACGCACATGTGTTAGATAATTGAATGAATGGATGAAAAATGGCCACCTCTCTACCAAGCACCTGGTGCTTGGTACTAAGCATACCCATTATTATACACACAGTGTCCTGCACCCTTGCCCGTTTCCATTCAACAACTTAGATCTGGAGGGATAATTGTTGCCTCGCTTATAACAAATATTTAGATGTCAGAACTGCATGTGTAAGTCCTTAAATGTTCTACACTGTTACTTGGCTTCAATCAATACCGTAAAGTTCATCTATTCACTTCGATACTCTAAAACATGCAGTTGACACTTTGATGCCCTAAAGTTCCAACCCATTTTACTTTAATACCCCCGTAAAGATTTGGTTAGATTTTTTGTTAAATTTGTTTAACATGCTTGTACATGATAAATTTAGAGATCCAAACAACCAAATGTTCCTAGTAGCAGGATCACATGTTAAACACGTGATACAAAATTTATTGAAAATCCAATTTAATTTGGACGAGGTATCAAAGTGAAATGGCATTGAAACTTTAGGAATCAAAGTGTTAAAAAAATACTATGGGGGTATCAAAGTTAAAGAAGGGGCAAGTTTGCGGTATTAAGTGAAAATAAGCCTTTTGATTAGCAATCTTCTAGTCAACTGATCTCTCATTCTAACGAATCTAACCTTCTTCAACACTCCCTGAAGTTCTTTTGCCAGTCTTTGATTCTAACGAATCTAACCTTCGTCAATTCTCCCTGAAGTTCTTTTGCCAGTTTCAAAGAGATCAATGGCTGGAGGTAGAGTTGCGCATGTTACTCTGAAAGGACCCAGCGTAGTGAAGGAGATTTGCATTGGCCTCACTCTGGGCCTTGTTTGTGGTGGCTTCTGGAAGATGCATCACTGGAACGAGCAGAGGAAGACACGTGCGTTTTATGACATGCTCGAGAAGGGAGAGATCAGTGTTGTTGTTGAAGACGAGTAGTTTGTCATCTTTTCTTTTCTCAGTTTTTTTCGCAAGCATCAAAAGCTTGGTATATGTTTAATTTTTCTCTTTTCTGCTGTTATCATGTAATAAGCTTTTACACCATTTGTTTGAATTTTTGAATCATGTTGATTGTTTAAGACTGTCGGTTTATTGACAGCGTGAGAAAAGACACTTGCTTCTACTGTTTGCATCGAATTTTTTGCAGCGGATGTCAATATGTTTTTCCGTCTTTGGTTGTCATGTTTTTAGAGTTGCGGATATCTTGGTCTTTGATTGTATTTCTGTAGTGGTTATATGCCTGGTCTGTTTTTTTTTTAAATCAGGGAAATTTTGGCTTGTTGATGTTTATTATCGAGATTCATGTGTTTTAAGTTTTATCGAGATTCATGGGTTTTGAGTTTGAACGCTGTTTGTTTTATTATGTCGTACGTCAGACCTAAAACACATTAGGAAACAAAATTTTTAGGTATGCGTAAATGACGTTCATGTCCTCTCTTATTGGGTGGCAACTGGGGACGGTTTAATTACCATAATATTTTTTTAGAATATAATCTTTATCGTGTATTTTAACAATTCTTACATTGTATGATCTTATTCCCTCAAATAGAAATGCACACTAAAGATTATGGCAATGGGCACTCTCCAATTATCACCTAGTTGAAGGGAATCCAGAGCCTATAATGATATACAAATATGTCGTGTCTGAATCCTTCGATTTAAATATGACCTGAATTTAATTGAATCACATCCTTACCATTTAAATTTTAGTTAACTGAAAAATACTTCTTGTATTATAATAAATCTTAGTGACTTGTTGTGTATGGAATGTGTTGATGGTGGGTAACCAAACAGTTAATATATATCGGGGTGAGATTGATTAGGGGCCGATCACTTTTCCGAATGTCCGGTCTTGAGTTTAGTAGTTTTCAGCATGCATAAATAATAACTCATGAGAGGACGGTGCTTAGTTCTCCTGTTGTATCTCCGACGATCAAGTCAGCTGGTGAACTTGAGTGGGAAAATGAAGAACTGCCTGAGTTCTTTAGTGTAGTACAGTATAATTAACAGATATTGCTTATCAGTAATAGATCCAAGATTAAAAAGGATCAAATCAGACCAGATTAAAAAAGATAGATCCTGGAAAAGGAATCCTCCCTCTTTGAACAAGAATAATAATACCTCTATTTATAGTGGTGCTGAAAAGGATAGAACAGTCACTTCGGCCGAGCACAGGAAGGCGGTAAGCAGGTATGGGCTGGTGGCTGCGTAAGCACCTACTTTACACGTGCCGGTCGGCGAGTGGAGGAGAGTTCATCTCAGCATTAATGAGAAGTGATCGGAGGCATGACGGTGCTGACATGGTTCGATAAGTAATGAAGAGTATCGGGGCTAGATGTATGATGCGTGTGCCAAACATTAAATGTGATGTCGACGTGCTGTCAGCGGGAGAGGCTCGTGTTGGATTTAATCTAATAAATCTATTTGTGGGCACATATGATTAATCAATGTGTATTGCTATCTTTCAGGATAACCCATTAAAGTGATCAATTAAGTTGGGTTAATTTGGTATTTAAATAAGTCATGGGGTTATATGTGCAGATACCAGGTTGTAATTGTAATTTATTGAGGGGCTAAATTACAAAAGTACAACATCTATAAATAAGGGGTTATGGTCCCTAACCTAGGGTTACATTCTCTAATTCTCTACACCAGATCTACCTAGAGAAATTCGGATTTAGAGAGAACCCTAAGGTTAGAAGATCCAAAACCTATCTCAAGGTTCATCCATGGATTCAGGTATAAGCTTCCGCTATTTTATTTATTTTTAATCTCTTTGAATTAATCATGGCTATATGGTTTTAGATCTTAAGTTTTATGATGTAGATCTAACAAGTGGTATCAGAGCCACATTGATTAATTCTTAGGGATTTAAGTTTTATTGGGTTTTTGATCTTAAATCTCTGGTTAAAGATTCAATTTTTGGGTTCGGATGAACAGTAATGTTCGGTGAACGCAAATTTTTTTTTTCAGATGACCAGTAAAGTATTTTTTTCGGATGAACAGTAACTGAAAAAATCGCCGGTGAACAGTGATTTTTTGGATTTTTCTTTGATTTTTTCTTTAATTTTTCCAATTCTGGATCTGTTTTGAAAATAAAAATCAAAGGTTTCTTGGGTTTGACGGCGGCGGTTTCAGTTTGAAACCCTAAGGGTTCATGGCGAAAATTAAGGAGGTGGTTACCTCAAACGAACCTCGCGTTCGTTCAATTTTAACCGAGCTTCGCGCTCAACGAACCTCGCGTTCGTTCTAAGGTGAACCTCGCGTTCAACTCAGGTGAGCGTCAAGCTCAATTTTAACGAACTTCGCGTTCATTCTAAGGTGAACCTCGCGTTCAACTCAGGTGAGCGTCAAGCTCAAGTTTAACGAACTTCGCGTTCGTTCTAAGGTGAACCTCGCGTTCAACTCAGGTGAGCGTCAAGCTCAATTTTAACGAACTTCGCGTTCGTTCTAAGGTGAACCTCGCGTTCATTTAAGACGAACCTCGCGTTCGTGCTTCAGACGAACCTCGCGTTCGTGCTTCAGACGAACCTCGCGTTCGTGCTTCAGACGAACCTCGCGTTTGTACTTCAGACGAACCTCACGTTCGTCCTTTAGACGAACCTCGCGTTCTTCAGACGAACCTCGTGTTCATTTTTAAACGAACCTCGCGTTCGTTCCCAAGTTGAACCTCGCGTTCTTTTATCAAACGAACCTCGCGTTCGTTCATTTTCAGACGAACCTCGCGTTCGTGCTTAAGTGAGTCTCGTACTCAATACAGTCGAACCTCGCGTTCGAAGTTAAGGGAACTTCGTGTTCATTATGGTTAAGCCTCGGCTTTTCATGGGTCCACTTTGGTATACTTAATTTATTCAATTAAGTTATGGGCCCTAATTAAGCTGTGAGACCCCAATTAAGTTTTTAGAAACTAATTAAGCTGTGAGACCCCAATTAAGTTTTTGGAAATTCAGTTGATTTAAATTTTTAATTTAAATCTAATTCGGTTTTTAATCAATTATTTAATTCAAATATTATGACACTAAGGTATTAAGGTTGTCTCTCACTCCAATTGATTAATTGAAACAAGAATTTGCCAAAGTAACCTCTCTTGTGTAGATTGTTCATGAGGAATGTGAGATGTTTGTGTGTATGCTTTCGTGTAAATATTTAATCGGCCCAAAGGAAGGTTAATATTTATTTAGACTGTATACACATCTGCGATGATAAGCGTGTGACAATTATAAGGTTTACATGTGAATAATGAATCGATCCAAAGATAGTTTCATTATTTGACATGAGTTATTGTCAATGTTTGATCATTGCAACAAGGTATCACTTACAAGTTAATATTACTGTCCAAAGACTTGATATTAATGTTGTGCCGGTATCTTGGATGGGGATTGTCATTATTTGAATTTTATTGATTATGGTTATTGATGTGAGCATTTTTGTTTTATTTCAGCTAATGCATCTGCTGCAACAATTTCTGCTAACATCAACTCAATTCCCATGCTAAATGGGACAAACTTCAAGGTTTGGAAAGAGAACATATTAATTGTTCTTGGCTGCATGGATCTTGACTATGCATTAAGAACTGAACAACCCCAACCTCTCAATGCGGATAGCACTCCTGATGCAAAGAAGGAGCATGAGAAGTGGGAGCGTTCAAATCGCATGAGTCTTATGATCATTAAGCGCGGCGTTCCGGAAGCCTTCAGGGGCATAGAATCCGAAGGGATTACTAAGGCTAAAGATTTCCTTGCCGAAATTGAGAAGCGTTTTGCGAAAAACGATAAGGTAGAAACAAGCACGCTTTTAGCTCGCTTGATTTCAATGAAGTATAAGGGCAAAGGAAATATCAGGGAGTACATTATGGAAATGTCTCATATTGCTTCAAAGCTTAAGGCACTTAAACTCGATCTTTGTGACGAGTTATTAGTGCATCTGGTTTTGTTGTCTCTTCCTGCACAGTTTAACCAATTTAAGGTCAGTTATAACTGTCAAAAGGAGAAATGGACTCTAAATGAGCTCATTTCATACTGTGTGCAAGAAGAAGACAGGTTGAAGCAAGATAAGACAGAAAGTGCTCATTTGGCCTATGCCTCTAAGGATAAGGGCAAGAAAAGGAAGAATGATAAGGAAGCTGCTAAGGGTCCAGTTGAGAAGAAACAACATAAGGATAATCAGGGTTGTTTCTTCTGTAAGAAGCCTGGACATGTAAAGAAGGACTGTACAAAATATCACGCCTGGCGTGATAATAAGGGTACGTTCCTTGCTTTGGTCTGTTCTGAGGTTAATTTAGCTTCAGTACCTAGAAACACTTGGTGGTTAGACTCTGGTGCTACTACTCACATAAGTGTTTCTATGCAGGGTTGCCTGAGCTACCGAAAGCCAAGTGATGTTGAAAGACACATCTTTGTGGGCGACGGACAATCGGTAGATGTGGAAGCAATTGGGCACTTTAGGTTGTTGTTAGGAACTGGTTATTATTTGGATTTAAAAGATACTTTTGTAGTACCGTCTTTTAGACGGAATTTGGTTTCTGTTTCTGTATTGGACAAATCAGGTTATTCTTGTTCATTTGGAAACAGTCAATTCAGTTTATCTTTTAATTCAAATGTTGTGGGAACCGGTTACTTGAGTATTTATGACAACCTATATTTGCTTGATACAATTGCTTCTTACAATGAATCCTTGCATGTGGAATCACGTGGTACTAAGCGTAAATTAAATAAGGAAAATTCGGCGACATTATGGCATAAGCGCTTAGGTCATATCTCAAAAGGTAGAGTTGAGCGTCTTGTGTCTGATGGCATTTTGGATTCCCTTGATTTTTCGGACTTCGACGTATGTGTTGAATGTATCAAGGGAAAACAGACCAAAGTGAAGAGATTAGGTGCCAACAGATCTTCGGATGTCTTAGAATTGATACATACGGATATTTGTGGGCCATTCCCTACGGAATCCTGGAATGGTCAACAATATTTTATATCATTCATAGACGATTACTCACGTTATGGGCACCTATATCTTATTCATGAAAAATCTGAGTCTCTGGACATGTTCAAAGCCTATAAAGCTGAAGTTGAGAATCAACTCAACAGAAGAATTAAAACCGTCAGATCTGATCGTGGTGGTGAGTACTACGGTAGATATGATGGTTCAGGTGAACAACGTC